CAAATTAAAAAATATATCTACGAATTGATGGTGATTGATGGCTCGTCATATCGATTTACCCGCATAGTTGTAAAAAAGATTCATGGTTCTTTATACGTACAGTAGTGAACTGCATTTGATTTTGACAGTATATTTGTCTCGATTTTACTATCAACGGCGATTTCAAAAATTGAAATTTAAAATTCCAAGTATCTTACGACAAAGTGCAAAACAACAAAAATAAATAAAGGTTTTAAAAAAATATTTTCGTCAAAAAATTCTTGGCAGCGGTGGGATTCGAACCCACGCCTCCGAAGAGACTGGTGCCTTAAACCAGCGCCTTAGACCGCTCGGCCACGCTACCCCAACATTGAGGGTCAAAATTCTGTATCTGTTTTTGTAACGTTTACAAAATAAATAAAATAAGGATATCATGTTATTAATAAATCAAAATCAGAGAAGTAATATACCGTATAATTCATATAAGTGTCTATTAACTATATTAAAAAAAACTAGCTTTAGAATAAAAAAAAAAACAAAAGAACAAATAATATTAGTAAGATATATAAAGGGCTAAGGACTCGCACTAATCATTTACTATATGATGTCCTTTACTCTACTAGGAAATTAGGAATGAATTTGTAATGATTTCTATGAAATGACGTAAGTCTAAGCCGCGTTTGGCATTTTCCAAAGAAAGTTGTAAAGGTAAGGTGTTAGTTTACGACCATGCGACGTGTGTGGTGACCAAGCGTTTACTATAACTTGGTCATTATGTATCAGCAAATAAGAAATATTGCAAAGCAATGTTAAACCATGTAACATGCAGATACAAATGTTTAAAGTAATAATGTTCAGTTCTGTAATTTATTTCTTTGTTCTAACCTCAAACAATATTTGTTTGGAGAAATAAGTTTGTGCATGAGACCTTTCTATTATGTAATTTTTAAATATATTTGAGTTTGACAGAATTATTTAAAACCAAGAAAGACCTTATCTGTTCATTTTGGTTCTCCCAGAGTTTTAGTTTCAGCGACATCTAGTGTCAATTTTATACGTTAATTGCGTAGACTGTAAAATAACATTTTTAATAAAGGGGAAATTATCTATTCTATTATTAAATGTTTACATAATAATATTTGTACTACAAACTTGTGTAACGGTAACATGTTCTATCAATATGTTTTCCTCACTCTTAATTGGTTTAAAAAACTGAGATAGCAATATATTTTCGTACGTGTTTTTCTACAGTAGAAACGGTAAAACATAAAAAGAATTAAAATCCAAGTCATTAAATAATCCAGCTAACAAAATTAGAAATTAATAATGGCCTTATAAATATAAACATCCAGGAAATTACAGCAATAGAGCGTACGAAGCTACCGTAATTATGGATTGAAATGATCCACAACAAAGTAGAAACTATGCCAACGCAGAAACTCTAACTATAAGGAAATATCGAAAATTTTTGTTTCAATGTAAAATCTTACCTCTAGACTAGACGATATTATATACCACATGAAATTACAAAATTATTTTTTGAAACAATAGTCTTTTATTCCTTCTTTTTACATTGTTAATAAATTGATAGAATTCTGTCTAAATCTAGTTAGAAAATACCATTTTTGTTTGTAATAAACAATTTCGCGTTTTCCTTCAACGGCCCATTAGCTCAGTTGGTTAGAGCGTCGTGCTAATAACGCGAAGGTCGCGGGTTCGATCCCCTCATGGGCCACAACTTTTTTTGTGATTCTCACATCCATTTTTATAATTTGAAGGAATGGTCTAATTAAGTCCTTAATTGACCAATTTCTAAATAAATCCAGTAATGTGTTTTTTTTAAGGTTTCAAGCGTTTTTCAAAGCGTAAAAGTTTGATTTCTGATTTTCGATTGATTCTTACTGCATGTTTTGTTCTCGCTCTACTCAATGCTAAGTGAAATAGTAATATTTATATTAGTCTTAACATGGTTATTTTTAGTGTGAAAACAGTAAAAAAATATCTTGAAAATATAACACCGTCAACCCAATTAACTTCAGCACCAAAATAACTCTAAATAGTTTGTCGACGTCGGCGAGTTCAGACGTTTCCGCTGATTTGCCATCAAAATTGTTTAAAACACTGGAATTGCAAAAGTATTTCGAGACTTCACGCTTCATTCATTCACGCTTCGTTTTAAATCTTAGCATAGGTTAGTTTAGTGGAAAGTATGTTCATAATGATCTCAAATCTAATTTCAAAAAAATTGTTTTAGTAATAATGTTTTTACTCTGTAAATTTTAAATTACATTACTATTACTATAAATGCGAGTATTGATGGATGGATGTTTGTAAGACTTTGCCGCCTAAACAACTGAGCGGAACTCGATTAAATTTGGCATAGATGTAGAGCATCATCTGAAAAAACGCATAGACTTAATTTTGTTTTCTTTAAGTTCACACGGATGGAGTCGTGGGCAAGAGCTAGTAAAAAAACTAGAGAATTAATGAAACACACATTAAAAATTTAAAACACTTTATTCATACAATTTTTTTTAAATAAAAAGAAAACATAACATATACAAGTAACATACTTTTACAAGAACACTTATATCTATTTAATTGACAAGAACAAAAGATAAGTAAAAATATATTAAAACTATGAAAAACAATAAATAGATGAGCCTCTGTGTTAATAGCCTTTAAAATGTTAGTTTGTTTTATAGCCAAAAAAAAACAATTATAAAATATGATCAATTGCACAACCGGCCGCACTTTAATATACAAAAATGTTTAATAGCAAAGGTTAATTCTAAATTATTTACATTTTCTTTGCTAATATAAGAATAAAATTATAAATTAACATATGATTTTTTTTGTTAAATACACCTGTTATTTGTTCTTTTAAAGGTGGGGTTAACTTAGGTTAATTATTTTACTAACACGTTTTTGATTTACATGCATATTTTTTAATGAATTTTTAATCTATACGTTGTCGGTTTTAGCAAAGAATCTAATTAAAATGACAATACGAATGCACATAATGAAATACATACTTGTTAAAAATATGTTAAAATAGATTTATGATTATTAATTACTTGTGCCCGTTTTTTTACTAAGTGTATTGCTTAAAATAAAGAAAATAAAATGTTGTCAGTAAAAAAAACTGTTAATGTTAAATCATAATAAAGTCTATACCATTGACATATTATTAGTATTTAAAATTAAATAAAAAAGTAGATTTACATTATACATTGATAAGACCATATCCATAAATATTTTTTAAAATTACCGATTTCGTGCTAACACATAATTGTCTATACTGTAGAACGATTAACTTAGATTTGAACGAAACTTAAATTACATTTTGGCAGATATTTTTTATTTAATTACACCGAGTATTGCTTAAGAGTACTTGGAAAAGGGCATTGTTCGAAACAAGCTGACGTAGGTTATAACCAACACAATGAAATTGGTTCAACATATTATGACTTATTTGTTTTTAGTGTTACATACAAAAATATATAACAGTTACATTAATTTTATGTATAATAATTTACAATCTCTGAAGTATTAATCTTATATTAACTTTATAGAATAAAAATTACACTAACATTCGACGGAATGTACGTATGGCGTATCATCTAATTTAGTCATAGATGCAACAGAAGAACGGCCATCACGACCCGTTACAATGGATATGACACTTCTATGTTCCGAATCGCTGTCGCCGCTTAACGTAATGTTCGTCTCCCCAGCGAAGCCCGAGTCTATCTGATCTTGACTCGCTGCCAACATGTCCCGTGTTACACACAATCCTAATTCTGTATACATCTCCTTCGACTCATCGAAATTACCGAAGAATACAGAATCAGTCTCAACGCTTTCACCTCCCGATTCGCTTCGACCGTCGCATAAAGATTCCATTTCATCCGTATCCGATTCTATTTGTAGTGCCAATGTCCTAACTACGGGAGGAACTGGTTTTGGGGCAGGTTCTGGTGGTAAGAATTTTGGCCTCAACATCAAATATCGGGCTCTACATTTTGATTCGTTGGAATCCGTACTTAAGTAGCCTGAGTCTTCTGTACGACAAAGTTTCTTCAGATCGACTCTTCGCGATCGTGTCCTCGTAGAACGACGGCCAGATCTACGAGCGTTCAAGTTCTCGTTTCTAACATATTGTGCGACTCGTTCTTTCTCCTCTGATCGTTGTCTCTCACTTGGAGGGCTATACTTCTCTGAGCCTCGCCGCTGTTTGGGTGGTATGGGTGGTTTTGGATCAATTTGACATTCAGGCTTACGGAAGTCTGACGGTCGTACAGATTTAATAAATTTGGCTATATCATGGTTCGCGTAAGGTAAGCTACCTCGCCTTTCATATAATCGTGGCTCTTGCTGTGCTTTCGCTTTAGCTTCGTAAATTTGCCTTAGGCTGCCGATCTTTCTGGTAAATACAGCCTCTGGCGGCGTCCGCCTTTCTCCTTCTCTTCCTGAATCATTATTTCCATTATGTGAAATAATTTTATGTTTAAAGCTTCCTCCTGATTTTAATAGAATTTTCTCCACAGATTTCTTCATTTCTCGCCTAGGTTTCCTGTCTAAAGTATCGGGATCAAAATCATCGTGGATCTTTTGTCTGGTATCCACGGGCGATCCACGGACTTCAATAGTTAGCGGACCTGGTGTTTCAATATTATTGTACAGCGGTTCGATGGGATTGACAAATAAGTCATTAACGCGACAAGTGCTAATGTTGGGTATTAAAGAATTCATGTGTTCACTTGGAATAGCGTCTACAGCTTTCTTTATATCACGCCAGCTCCTAGATAATCTTTCTTTTGGTATGTCTGTAATTTTATGCATGGTCTGTTGCTTTTGTATTATTTCTGACCCGAAGTCAAGAGAGAATCTTCGGCGTTTTAACATATTTCTGTCTAAGCTATCATATTCCATAGACATTTCACTCAAATGAGGGGGTTTGCGGTCGCGAGATAACGTGTTGTCATCACTATAATATTGTGAATCAGCTGCAATTACCGGTATCACTATTTTAGGTCCACTAGCTAATATAGCCAGTCTCTGTAGTTCTTCTAATTCGCTTTCTTCTGATCTTGTACATTTGTTTAATTCCTTAATTACAGCTTCCATTTTAACTTTCACTTCTGGTAAGACTGGCTCCTTTTTGTCGGTTATAACAGGCTCTTGTGGATTAACTGGCGGTGGTGGTGGAGGTGGTAATTTCTTTCTGACTATTCGTCTCGTAGCATTGCTCGATGGGCTTCTCTTTTCTTGTGGCTTCTTGTTTGAAGACGGCGATGTCAACCTTTTCTCATTTTGATTATCTTGATTAGACTGTATTGTTTTCGGTTTCTCTAACTCTCGTTTGATATCAACAGTTTCTTTAACACGTAAATTATTTAAGTTTTCTCTTGCGATTACTTCAATTGGCTTCTTGGTTTCTTGTTTATTTATGTGTGGTTCATCCCGTTTTATTGGTATCACTGGACTGACATGGAAGTCATCTTTCTTTTTAGTATCAACGATTCTGGGAGTTCCGCTGACCTTAGCGACTGATTTTGTAGGTCTGATTGTCTGTGGCGGCGATGGAACCTCGTCTAGCCACTTTTGTACTATTCTTTGCTTGTAGTCGTCGCTGACGCAAGTTTTACACGAGTTAGATCTGATCAATCCAGGTGCTTTTTGAGATTTACTATCGCTGCTATCACATCCAGGACAACCGCCGCAATGTACGGCCCTTCTACTATTTTCTCTCTTTAGGCTTATTGCACTAAACCGTCTCCCGCGTCGTGCGCAGGGTATATCCCAGCCGAGGTCTAATGTGTGGTATAAATCTTCTTCGGGTATATCAGATAGCATGGGAATAAATCTCTTTGACAACATCTTTTCCTTTGCGATCGCCATGATTTCTCGAATTTTTATAAGAAAATCGATCGCTGCTGGTGGTGGATTCTATAACAAAAATATATTTTTTGTCATTTATGAAGATTATGATTTGTTTAGTGGCGATATAAAATAATAAAAAGAGTTATTTACCTTAAGATGTTCAACTTCAAAGAATACCGGATTAAAATAAAGTTTTCTTCTTATGACTGGCTCCACGTTTGTAGGTTGGTTGAGACTCATGGAATTTGTTTCCACACTGCAGTCGATGATGGACAAGTCGGATTGGGGAGCTCTTTCTATTTCGGGCGACGCGGAGCGCCGCTGCAAGCGTTCTGTTAGTATTTCCGGAGTAGACGTACGTAATGACGGACGAGATGGTTTCTTCCGATGGTTATGTATCATTGCAGAGACAATGTTTGGATTCATACTCTGAAACTGTATGAGAATTTTAATTATCTAATTATTTAGTACACAACAAAATTGCATTTGACGCAATTAAATCTTTACCAAAATTATATAGAGGAAATATTTGTACTTTTGTATGTCTTGAAATAACTCAAAAACTACTTTACCGACTTCAAAATTTTGGCAACATTATAAGCTATGCTATCACTGAGTAACATAGGCTGTTCAGAATTTGTTTTTATCATTTGTGGGGAAGATGTTGCAAAGAACAATTAGTCATTTATAAAAGATATTGTTGTCTCCTACAGCTTGTTTATTATTAGTATACTTACTTTCTGATAATTAGTTGAGGAATCCACAGTTTCTTCGGTACGTTCACTGACGTCAGACAAGCCGGCATCATTTAAAAAATCGTTACGCGTGTCAAAATTTAATAGCGGATTCTTTTTCAATCTCTGTTGACAAAAATAATTAGGATTACAAAAACTGAAATGAAACACGATAACATTACGATAATTAGAGCCTGTCCCACAACTGGCTGATAGAGGCTCAGATAGCTACAAGGAACAAAATCCAATATTTACATCACATATTTTACACGTTGAATTGTTATCAGATTATAATTTGGTGGTTATTTTGGGAAAATCTGTATTTTTACTTACCACGTTATCCATATCAATGGTGGAGATATTTTCAGTAGAGGCAGTACTAGACCTGTTTGACTCCGGGTCCATTGCCTTGCGTTTTTGTTTCTGCTTGTAATGTATATAGAAGATAATTCCAGCCGCATAGATGAAGACAAGCATGAGTACACACACGCCGATCGCTAAAGATTCCAGTACGCTCAGACCTTTACTTTGGTTCACTTGCTCCGTGTTTATTATCTCACCAGCATGGAAAGGTATAGAGCGAACGTCTAGAAGGGTAAATAATACTTCAATAAAGGAACGGGAGATGTAAATGATTTTGCAGAACAGTTACTTCGACTTATAAACAAATTAAGAAGTATAGAACTCGAAGTCAATATTACTTCTTACTAATATTACAAATGCGAAAGGTTAGATTGATTGATGGATGGAGGTATGCTAGTTTGTATTCTAAACTGCTGAACGGATCTCGATGAAATTTAGCATAGATGTAGAGGATAGTCTGGAAAAACACATAGGCTAGTCACTTTTGTTTTTTTCAATTCCACGCGGAAAGAGTCGTGGACGTAGCTAGTTTAACTAATCAACTTATCGAAAAAATCGTGATGTAAATGTTAGTTCTCTTTCTTCAAGTTCTTCTGACGTCATAGTTACCTAGCATAGTGTTGTGCGTGGCGCCGGCAACTCTGAATGCTGCGCAGGAGGCGGCGAGGCGCGCGGGCGCCGGCGCAGAGCACAGCACGTGCACCGTTACCAGCCGCCCCTCCAGCCGCCCATGCAGTGCTGAAGACCCTCGCCACTGATGACGTTAAAAATGTTAACCATATCTAAAATTACGTACGTAAAGATCCTACTTCTGTACTAATGTTACAAAGAGGAAAGATTTGTGTTTGTGTATGTATTGAAATAAGAAGCTACGCTATCATTGAGTAATATATATTTTTTAATTTAACGCGGACGAAATCGCGAGCAACAGCTAGTATAATATTGCAAAAGTTTAGATGAATGCATGTTTGTTACCATATCGCTACAAAACGATTGAATGGACCTGTACGTAATTTGAAACAGAAACAGAATTTATTTTTGAATAACTGATTTTATTTGAAATCCACACGGACATAACCGCGGTCGACAACTAGTCATCAGTAAATCACAACTCGAGATATGTGGACGAATTAAACAAATTGCGACTTTTACGCCTCTGAATTTATCTGGCGGTTTATCTCGGTCGCGTCGGATTTCAACAGTCCGCTGTTTGACTTGACTTGTGGCATTTTTCACACATCACGATTATTATCTCGACTTTATCCAATATTACACGTTCTTTGATAACAAGAATTAAGATAATTCTTGCGTGTATGATAACAATTATAAGATATAAAAACACGCAAATTAATTAAACATAACTATATAAATGTTTTATTTTCTTCTTTAGCACTAAATGTAACTCGATCATACTAATATTATAAATGCAAAAGTTTAGATGAATGGATGTCTGTTAGGGTTTGTAGCTTAGACGGTTGAACGGATTTCGATGACATTTGGTAAAGAAGTAGAGGATAGTCTGGAAGAATACATAGGTTACTCACTTTTGTTTTCTTTAATTACACGCGGAAGGAATCGCGGTCGAAAGCTAGTATACAATAGTAATAAAAACGCTTTACAAATCCGATCATGAACAATGGTATTTAAATACATTAAAGAGTTAATTGCATTTGAAGTAAAAAAGTAATCTTTTAGAATTTCGTATATAATTATACCTTACGTCGATTATCTGTACAACTTAAAGTGGATCTTATAACCTGATTAATAAATAAAACAAGTTCATTCACGGGTGGCACGATCCGTTCAAAATCTTTATGCTGTTTGACTGTTTTAATTTCACAAATAACGTATCAAACCGTAATGGCGCGTGTGTTAAAAACATTATTTTTTGAATACATTTAACCACACAGAAACCAGGCGTGAAGTGGAAGCCATTCCGTGTTTCGTCTCTTGAGTGTGCGAGACCCAATTTTAGCCCCTTTTCCTTCCCAAGCATTATCTTACACGAGAAGGATGGGAAGAAGGAAGAGGAAGTATCTTCTTTGTGAGCATCTCCTTCTCCGTCGATCAAGGGTAGGCAACGCATCTTCGCCATTTTGGCGGAAAGTTTTATTAATTACACATTATCTAAGGTAATTTGAATGTTAACAATATAAAAATTGTACTAATGCTTTGTAGAATGACGTAAATTATCCTATTATGATCACTTAGGACCAGGCATGTGAATTATGCAAAACACTCGTAAACTTAACTTGTTTCCGTTGAATACTAACATAAGTGCCGTAAAAATCGGTACATAGACATAGATGTAACCGTCAGTTCCGAGTAGAAAAGTAATTTATTTACTGTGATTACATCAGTCTATGTTCTTGCGACGGATCTTTGTCTAGTTGTACTTGAATTTCAGGAATAACCAGTGGACGATGTAGGAAACTAAAAAGATGGGACAGATAAAATATTCTACTTCTAACACCATTACGCCGACGTATGACTTTTAGTTAAAAAAAAAACTTTCGTTTTGTTTGTTTGGATAAAAAGTAACTATAAAATTTTGAAAATTTTTGTTTTTGCGTATACGGTTTTCTTTAATTTTTAGAAGTATTTTATGAGTTAAATCTATTAATATGGATTATTTGGAACGTTGCATAATGTTTCAAATTAATTAAGTATACAAGTTTAGTAAGCTTTTACATTTTATTTGCTGTTTATTGAGTAAAGTTTTTTACGACCTTCATTAAATTTGTAATCGGTCTACATTATTTGAAAAAGATATAACAAATCTGGACCGATTTAAAGATCGAAATGTTTGAAGTCTTTATTTTCATTATTTATTATTAAAATATTTCAGTTGAAATGACTTGGCATTTTTAATTTCATTTTAATGTCTTCTTTGACATGCTTAAGTATTTTTCCGTTTTCTGTAAATTTATTAATATCAAACTTTATAATCGATATGTTTTTATACTTAACACTTAATAAATATTGCATGTTTAAATGTCACGGTAATATATTGTACAAGTGAATCCATATTAATACAGATAATAAAT